TTTCTAGTGACGACATAAGGCTGATAAAGCAGGCATTCTAGTTTTTGTACTTGTGTCCACTGGTTTTCAGTTAGTGAAACATTCTGGTTATCTCGATTTTCGAGGAAAGCTTTTAGTTCAAGTAAGCGTTTGATCATCAAATAAGTGCTACCCCAACGTAGAAAGAAAAGTCCACGTTAACCTGATAAATGGATTCCGTAAATGTGTTAGTGACTTTATACATTTATCGAATCCGTCGGAGTCTGTATAATTTTTTCCGAGTCCGGGGAACCGGTAATTTGCTTCCGATTCCAGGGGGACCGGTAATTTGCTTCCGAGTCCAACTCCATAGTCCTGGTTTTAAGTTATTCGAATTGGAAGAAATATACATAGATGTCAAAGTATGCGGCGCTCTTGGAATATTCCTGGAAAAGAAACTAGGATTTGACTGAAGCCATGCGAATGAAATTATACGGATGGAACAGTTTGGAAGCCGTCGACGGTTGTGCTAGCACGAAGTCACAAGTCATCGTGATCGAGGCTTTGGGCGTATTGGCTTTGTTCAAATTAATGTTCACGCTAAATTATGTTCTGTCTCCAAGAAACTAGAAATTGGGTCTGCTTAGTATAGTTGCAGTATAAACAATAGATGGGTTCTATGGGTATTGAACAAGACCAGGTGCCTGAACAGCTTTTATTACTAGTAATATTTTCTTGAAAAAAAAAAAAAAAACAAACAAAAAAAAACAATTACCAGCAGTATATTTTTGCAAGAAAAATATTACCAGGAAAAAAATTTGTCGTCATTGAGGTTGATATACCGTAAAACAAAACAACCCTCCCTTCCAGTTTCTTGTTTTCCTGGCACCTACGTTCTTTAAAAAACTCAATACAACGCCAAGCGCCATCTTCTGTCTTCCTGAATTCTGTTCTTTTATTGTCCTTTCTCCTCACTAAAGTCTTCACATTATCTTTCGCTACCCAGTAACCTCTTGCGTCTTATTGGCAATATCACTATCTTGTCTTCCTGACATCTTTTATTGTCCTTTCTCCTAACTAAAGTCGTCTCATTCTCTTTCATTCCCAGTAACCCTCTTGCGTCTTAGAGGCATTATAGCCTTGCTTAGGGTGAAATGATTAAAACAATTGTGTTAATAAACGAGTTCCCTGAAACTCTCCTTTTAAGTAGATTCTCTGAATTTGATACCTTGTGATTATGTAGACTTTTTACTGAAACCATTTAAAATTGGAAGTATGTGAATTGTTTGTTGAGTCAAATTGGCTAAGTCACACTCTTGAGATGATTAGGTCACATAGGAAATGAACAAAATTGTCCTTTTTTCCTTCATCTTACGACTAATGAAGTGCCCAGTCAAGATGTGTCACAAATATGATAGGAGGAGAAAAATACGGGAGTGAGTGTTCTTTTGTTCTGTAGTTTAAAATAAATTTTTTTGTTATGACTACGCACTGATGACCCAGAGTTCAGTCCCTGTGTCAGGCAGTGAAAATTATATACTCTTGTTAAATAGAAGCTCTGTAAGCACGGGATGTGATCCAGAGATCGATCCGACTAAGAGCAACTGGTCACAGGAGATTCGACAAGAGATCCCGACATGCTAGGACAAACGTAACCATCATCTGGAGGCTAATTAAACTTTAAATCAGAAAAGTGTATTTTATTTTTGAAAGATTTTTAATAAAGATAATTACATTGTGTTGACAGATGACAAAAAATGGAGCTAAAATCAGCGATTTTTAGCGATTTAAAAAAAAAAATCCTTTCAATTCTTCCAGGAGTAATGGATAGCCGCGCGGTTTGAGGAATCGGAGAGCAGAGTTCGAATTCCAGTCGAATCCATTACATTCACTTGCGTGCTAATACCCTTGGGAAAGGTATGAATCCTCTTCTTCTCTCCTGATTTATTTATTAACACAAACAAAACAATTTATTATAATTTATAATAAAAAGGAGGCACTGTGGAGTAATGGATAGCCGCTCGGATTGAGGAATCAGAGAGCCGAATTCGAATTCCAGTCGAATCCATTACATTCACTTACGTGCTAATACCCTTGGGAAAGGTATGAATCCTCTTCTTCTCTCTTGATTTATTTATTAACACAAACAAAAAAATTTATTATAATTTATAATAAAAAACTGTGGAGTAATGGATAGCCGCTCGGATTGAGGAATCAGAGAGCCAAGTTCGAATTCCAGTCGATCCATTACATTCACTTACGTGCTAATACCCTTAGGAAAGGTATGAATCCTCTTCTTCTCTCTTGATTTATTTATTAACACAAACAAAACAATTTATTATAATTTCTAATAAAAAGGAGGCACTGTTGAGTAATGGATAGCCGCTCGGATTGAGGAATCAGAGAGCCGAGTTCGAATTCCACTCGAATCCATTACATTCACTTACGTGCTAATACCCTTTGGAAAGGTATGAATCCTCTTCTTCTCCCCTGATTCCTGGATGGCAACTGGTCTACCACAGAAAGAAATGGCAACCTACTGCGCAATAAAATCTGCCTCGTAAGTCGTGTATCGAAAGACACATGATCGCTTAAGCGTGTATCACGCATGGCACATGACTGACTGACTGACTGATAACTGATGATTTTACTACAGGAACGCATTGAAAATGAGGAAGACGGGGGATTGTCAGTGGTCAGGAATGAAGGAAAGCATTACTGAGAGAATAGAGTATGTATAATGTAAATACCCTTGGGAAAGGTATCAATCCTCTTCTTCTCCCCTCCAGCTATGGAGAAATAGCAGGACAGACCCGGTTTTATAGCCTTGGATGACAAGTGGTCTACTGCAGAAAGAAATGGCAACTACTGCGGGGAAAAAACTGCCGCTTCAGTCATGTATCGAAAGATACATGATCGCCAAAGCGTGTATCATGCATGGCACATGACTGACTGACTTCCAATACAGCAAAGTATTTTGCTTATTGGAAATATTAAATTTAATCTATTAGCTCGAAATTAAAACTAAAATAAAAGCTTCAAGAAACATTTTTCAGTATCTGTCTATATGTCTCTGATGAGCTATTATGTACATTATTTACATTATTGGGAGTATTATCCTCATCGCCATATTTATTACGTTTCGGCCGTTTTACGCTCCGGCCTTCTTCAGGGGGTTTGGAATGTCGAACTGAATCCTTTATTTCGCTCACTGGGGGAAGGTGTTCTAGTTCCACGTGCCATGTCTGTTAATTCCCCTCTGCAAATTCTCCACCGCCTTAACCGCGTATTGAACTCACACTCTCTGGGTCCTGTCACTGGATCTAACCAACGCCTTTATCCACTGTGCCATGTGTCCTTGAATAATGTAAAGATTTTTCATTTTAAAAATTAATTTTAAACATTGTCTCGCGTTTCTTTGGTACTTACATGTGCCATAGATAAGAATCACTTTAATGTGATACTAATTCAGCCGGAGTATTCGCAGAAGAGTGTCTAAGCTGTATTTAAAGATTCTTCTAAGTGCCGTTTCCCTTCAGGACTCTGGCGATCATAGCTGTCCACAACTTCCTATCATTTGTAGATCTTAAATGTTGTTTTTGTTGTTATCTCTCTCAAACGTTGTTTAAACATTTCCAATTATTTACGTTTTTATTGTTTGATTTTGATACCTCCTTTCTGCATTCTGTCTTCGTGAAGTTGATGTTTAATCTCCTTTACTACATTCTGCAAGAGTTCTTGCAGTTTTGGAATGCATCTTTGGCTATCCCAATACGTCTTCGGATCTCGGTGCCGCTCTTTCCGTCCTCTGTCAAAACATTTCCAAGATATTTTAATTTCCACACTTGTTTGATTTTGGTACCTTTGATTTGCAATTCGTTCTTTGGCCTCGTTCTTTTGCTAAAAAAACATGCATTCTGTCTTCTTGAAGTTGATGTTTAATCTCGCTTTCCTTTACTACATTCTGTGGGAGTTCTTGTAGTTTTATTTCTATGTCTGCCACGAGAGTCGTTCCAAAAGTTATAGACTAGGAGGAGTTGGTGAAAGAAAACTGTTTTTCCCTATTTTTCAATATAGCCGCCCCTTTGACATCAATGCCCTTGGCCTAACGATGCTTAAACCCTGCCATAACGTATGGTGATGTCCTGGTCTCCCCCCAAAAAACTCTTCCACAGCATATATGATCTCATCTTTGTTTCCGTTACATTTCACTTTCTTTCACTACCTTCTGCAGGAGTGTTTATAGTTTCCTTTCTGTGCATACTATCAACATCTGTGTCATCTGCATATCTTATGTTGTTAAAGCATTGTGGCCACCAATATGGAATCCTATTAAGAATTCTAGTTCTTAAGTCCGGTAAGAAGACACATCTTTGTCTTACACCACTTTCTATTTTATATATATATATATATATACTGAAATTATTTTATATCCGTGTGCAAATGACTTGGTGTCCGTTGAAGTTCTGGATTATTCAAATTTTCTTCCCAAATATGTCAAGATAACCCAGACGTTCCAACTGTTACTTTCTCAAACGCTTGTGAATAATCTATAAAACATATGTATAGATACTCTTGCATTTGTATTGCTCTTTCTAATACATTTTGAACATGAAAATTGCATTCCTTGTTCCAGTGTCTTTAACGACACTGTTCTTGTCCTGTTTCCGGTCTAATTCTGCTGCGCGCTTTTCGTACAAATGAACGATGACCGCGCCCTAAAGATGTTCTGTATGGTTACCTGCTCACAGGAAACTCCCTGCACTGCGCTTTAAGGAAGACTGCCTGCGAGTCTTGAGATTCTGATTGTTACATATAACTTCGGAGAAATTTACAGCTTCCAAGTGGCGAGAGGCTGTTTAAGAAGGCATTTAGAGAGGTGAGCGACAGCGGAACCATCAGCTAGGTGGGTAGAAGACGACACAATTCGAAAAGTCTACAAAAACCAACGTCACGCTCCACACACCAGTGTTGTATGCGTTTTCTGCGAACGAAATTGTCATTCTCCTCTCTGTAGAAACTGGCTTACCGCTATATCCTGTTCAAACGCCAGTTTTCGTACGATCACTGAAGTTAAACAACGTCGAGGTTCGTTAGTACTTCGATGGGTAACCGCTTTGAAATACCAGTGGCTGTAAGCGTGGATGTGCGGATGGTCAAAACGACTTACGGTCATATCACGTTGAAACCTCCAATATTTATGAATTCCCGGATCAAGTAAATGCTTCTAGACTCGAGTATAGTTAGTCCTGGGTATGACGATAAACTACATCCGGCAGCAAGACCTTTTGGTCGGTAGACTGGAGATGTTGAGGAGCGTGGACCACTTCTTAACTGCTGTTCTTCCCAGGTCCACCCTGACCCGGTGTGGAAGCACATGTTAGGGTCCTAGCTATGGGCAAATAGTGGGCCTCCAAACACTATAAAAGTATAAAAATAGATTTTTATAGTAAAAATATAAACAATACATGTTTATAGCAGAATGATCAGCAATACATGTTTATAGCAGAATGATCAGCAATACATGTTTTTTTAGCAGAATGATCAGCAATACATGTTTTTTTTTAGCAGAATGATCAGCAATACATGTTTTTTTTTTAGCAGAATGATCAGCAATACATTTTTTTTTTTTTTTAGCAGAATGATCAGCAATACATGTTTTTTTTTTTTTTAGCAGAATGATCAGCAATACATGTTTTTTTTTTTTTTAGCAGAATGATCAGCAATACATGTTTGTTTTTTTTTTTGATTTTTTTTTTTTTTAGCAGAATGATCAACAATACATGTTTTTTTAGCAGAATGATCAACAATACATTTTATCTCTAGTTGAAGCCATAAAATTGTGTTCAAAATATTTAGGTTCCTGCATGAAATAACCCACAGAGGTGTTGATATGCCGCTAAAGAAAATCAACCAACCGATTGTAAATAATTCAAGAGGGTTGAAATTTTATAAGCCACCATAGCCAAATTTTAATCTAAATCGTAACTATCCACCATAGAATTTTAGATGTCATGAAAGTAATTCAAATTTTTGTCAAGTGGGAGAATGTTGACTCAAGCATCCTGTTTGCTTGTCAAGGCATTTTGGTGGGGGGTCTGCATGAATACATCCTTCTTTTATCCCTTTCGGCTATCTTTAATGAACATTATTATTATTATTATTGTTAAGCCCTTCAAGTCAAGTACTTCTGTCTTTAATGATTCACTGATAGCTTTTTTTTTTTTTTTTTTTTAACGCAAGTACTGACGTACTCAAGTGTAGGAAAACACGCGCAAACACACACAAAGTTCGCGCGCGTATTTAACCACACACACGAGGATGTAAGCTTAAACGTGTACGTTCTCTCTTTCTCTCGCTCTCTCTCTCTCACACACGTGGATGTACTTTCTCTTCCTCTTTGTGATGTAAGTTCGCACAAGAACACAGGTTTCTAGGTTCCCACACACACACACACACACACACACACACATACACACACACACTGGATGTAAGTTTTCACACATGCGCACACCTCGATTTAGTGCAAGTTTGCTTTAAGGTAAATGTTTGACATTTAAGCAAACTTTAAAGAGTCTGATTTCTTGGAACACGCAGGACAATTTGTAAACGCCATTTACAAATTCAGAAGCTAAGAAACGGTTACTTATTTGCTAACCTAGTAAGTTACATTTTTATCGAATACCCTACTCTTGTGAATTTACACCAACCGAAGTAAATTCTTGTAGAGCGATTTATTTCGCCTGGACACAGCATAACAATTCTAGAAGGCCGACCAGGAAGTTTATTCTTAATCGGCGTACCTGATTTTCACAGAATATGCGATGCAGACGTGGCACTGTCGAAAAAAAAAAAAAAAAAAAATGAAAATAATTAGAACAGAAGTAATCGTGGAAAGCCAGGAGAATTAAATGTTAGCTTTAAGATATACTGCATAGGTGTCAGTAAAAGGGAAAACCCAGGTTGTGAGTTACATATCGGGAATATCAAAATCATGCAGGTGACAGATGTCTATTACTGCACTTAGTAATAGATATCGGAAAATAAGACATGAATCGGAAGGTGCGTCATATGCTAAGAAAAGTATTAAGCAATCGAAAATGTCTTAATAAATAAGTTTTAATGGCTTGAATCAAATAATGGAGAAAGTTTTAATGGCTTGAAAGTTTTAATGGCTTGAAAGTTTTAATGGCTTGAAAGTTTTAATGGCTTGAAAGTTTTAATGGCTTGAAAGTTTTAATGGCTGTGAGGGAAAAAGATTGTAGAGTGGAGAATAAGAATTTGCTCCCACATGATGCATAAGCAAATTATTTTGTCTAGGCTAGAACCTAGCTACAGTATAGCCTAATCATGGCAGCAATACTCCATTTTTAGTTTAAAATGACTGGCTTGTGATGTTGTGTCTGTGGGGAAAGAGGCTGGAGAGTAGAGAATGTCTTCCTCCACAAAAAATGAGTAAAGCATTCTAAACTCTATCAAGACTGGAAAGTGGTGATTGTGCAGCTCCAGCTCAGACATTGTTCTAATCTGATTCTTGTAACGATAAGGCGTGACAGAAGCCATGAATTCATTTTTGGTCCAATCTGTCTTTTATACTTCCTAATACTATAAAAAATGATGAGACCTAGCTGCCAATCTAGTACTGTTTAAAATCGTAAAGTCAAGGCACCAAAGAGGAAAATGTCACCAGAACAATCCCCATGAATTTATTTATAGAAAAGATACAAAGAAGCTACGAAATGGAAATAGAGTTGTAACATTGTCTATGGGGAACCAGGTTGTGGAGTGGAAAATTTTATTCCCGACAAGATCGCGTATGTGAAAGTGAGGACGGGACAGCTTCAACACAGGTATGGCAACAAGCCTCCATTTTTGGTCGCAGTCTAAGTCTTGTAAAGATAAAGCCTGGTCGGAGTCGGTAACTTTTTGAAGTAATAGTACTAGACTGGCATCGAGATCTCATCGATTTACAGTTGGTTTGGTTAGGTGTAACTGTAAACAGTTTTTGTCGCACTTCTCGCTTCTGAAACTCTCTTCCGGTTCCATGCTTTTTCAGACAATTTTAATTTTCAAAAATTTAAATGCAATGTCAATTGCTATCTACTGTCCTCCTGATTACTCTTTCCTCTTCCTGATCATTATTAATGTTTCAGTTTCTAATTTTTCTACACCTATTAATCCCTTACGGCTTTACTGCATGCATGGGGGCGAACTCGATTAAAAAATAAGATGAGCCGACAATTTTCCATTATATATTTAGAAATATATGTGTGTGTGTGTGTGTGCCCACATGTGGGAAGATGGAATGAACTTGAAACACAACATTGAAGCAGAGTCTCGTTCAACCATTCATCGTGGTTGGAGAAAATTGGCGTTGGCTTTGATTAAAGCCTCGAAGACTTTACTGAAGCGTGGTAAGAGACTGATAGGACGGTAGTTAGATGGGTCAGAAGGGGCTACAGAGTCCTTAAAGACAGGCACAACAGATGACGACTTCCAACAGGCTGGGAAGCAAGAGTCGGTGAGGCAGTAGTTGTATAGTTTCCAGAGGACAGGAGCCAGTTTAGGAGCACATTTCTTCCGGACAATGGTCGGTATCTCGTCCCCACCACTAGCCTTATGGGAGTCTAATTTAGAGATGATGTTCGATATCATCATTGGATGTGCATTTCACCCAGTAAAGACTCAGTGCTGCTGGGTGGGTGTATGTAGTTGAATCCGCTGAGAATTTCCGGGCAAAGCATTCAGCCTTGTCAGCCGAGGAAGTCCGGACCTCAAATTGGCTGAATAATGCAGGGCCGCCAATAATCGTTAGAACCAAACTTGTGAGAAGCAATACGTGGTTTCAGTAATATATATATTAGTGTAACCCGAATATAAGAGAGTTGTCGGGACCGGAGAAAAAGTCTCTTATATCCGGGTTTCTCTTATATATACATTAACACAGGCTCTAATTTGGGACCAGAGAAAATCTCTCTTATACCCGGGTTACAATATATATAATATCTACCTGAATGAATTTAAATCTGAATGCCATTTAGTAGACTTTTTACATTATTCGGAATATTGTCCTCATATATATCACAACGTTTCGGCCGTTGTACTCTCCGGCCTTCTTCAAACCCCTTATTTCGCTCACTGGGGTAGACTGTTCTAGTTCCACGTGCCATCTCCTGTTAATTCCCCTCTGAAAGTTCTGCCGGGTATTGAACTCACACTCCTGTCACTGGATCTAACCAACGCCTTTATCCACTGTGCCATGTGCCCTTGACCTGTGTATGAATTTCTGGGTATTATAAACTTAATGTCTCAGCAATCTTTTTTTTACCAGTGCTCATATTGCAAATTTTGCTTTTATATATATATAATATATATATATATAGTTTATGCAAACTTAGGTAATCCGTATGGGTAGACGTGAGGAGGATGATATTCAGAGAGCTCAATGTAAAATTCCGAGCATATATGTTTGAATAAAAGACAGACCACGTTAAGATTCCATGTAATAAGCTATTTCACCATAACCCCTTTAACAGGGTTCTGGATCATCAGACTTTACTTCCAAAAGCTAAAATGAAAAAAAGAAACGTTTTTTGACGGACCTCATCAAGTATACGTAAAGTTAACGAAGTGAGGTGGGAGAGAGGATATGAGTGTGTCATATGTATCATTTTAGTTTCAGAACCCTGTTAAAGGGGTTATGGTGAAATAGTTATTACATGGAATTTTAACGTCAGTCTGTCTTTTTTAGAAATTCAAATATATATATATATATATATATATATATATATATATATATATATGATGGTTTCTGCTTTTTTGAATTTAATTCTGAATGCCATTTAGTAGATGTCTTTGTCTATCTCTTCCACATAATTTTCATTTTAATCAAATTAAACTGAAAATTGGCTTGAAGAATCAACCTCTCTTTCTATGTTCTGTGATTACCTCAACTTAGATTGTGACTGTTGTTGCATCTGTTCTTTCAACTTCCTTTGTTTAGTGCATTTGAATATTCTGTCCAACTCAAGCCCATGAAATCTGCGGGTTGTTTAGGTCACTGAGGAAATGAGCTAATTCCCCCGATTCGCCGCTTGTTTTTTTCTTTCTTCATACGACGTTTTATCTAGTGTACTACCGCAGGCATACAAGGAGGGGGAACAGAACTTTGAAATGACTGGAGAAATATTAATAACCTATGGTCTTCAAAGTCGCATCCCAAATTAACAAGTGGCAATAGAGGTTCGATTCCTGCTGGGTGCACGTTTTCATTTATATAAGTTTCTATCTTTAGGCCAATAGACATTAATTTTCTCTGTTCAAAAACAGGGATATCTACTCAAACACATTTACACTAAATTATAACGTTTTCATTTTTATATATATATATATATGTGTGTGTGTGTGTGATAAAAACAGTTATAAGGTATGCTATATTTACGGATTAAAGTGCTCAAAATCAATAATAGAGAGTATGTAAATATAAAAATGGACATTGAGGTCAACGCTCAGCGGCGAAGTCGACATGACGTAAAGAGTGCGCTTAACCTATATATATATATCCCTCGAATAATGCGTTTTAGATTAGTGCGCTAAAATTTTTATATACCAACATTCGATTAGTGTATACATAAAACTTGATTAGTGCGGTAAAACCTTCTTCCATTTAACCATAGTAATTGAAAATTATTTTTTTTTTAAATAGTAACCGATGTACACATTAGCCACACTAAACAAGTAAGTAAATAAATAAATGAATAAATCAGGAGAGAAGAGGATTCATACCTTTCCCAAGGGTATTAGCACGTAAATGAATGTAATGGATTTGACTGGAATTCGAACTTGGCTCTCTGATTCCTCAATCCGAACGGCTATCCATTACTCCACAGTGTCTCCTTTTTATTATAAATTATAATAAATTGTTTTGTTTGTGTTAATAAATAAATCAGGAGAAAAGAAGAGGATTCATACCTTTCCCAAGGGTATTAGCACGTAAGTGAATGTAATGGATTCGACTGGAATTCGAACCCGGCTCTCCGATTCCTCAATCCGAGCCACTATACATTACTCCATTTTATTATATATATATATATATATATATATATATATATATATATATAAAAATTTAGGTTCTACTTTTGTATCGAGCACTGTGTTTTTTTTTTTTTTTTTTAAAAAAAAAAAATACTAAAAGGACTACGAGTTATTTTCTATATTTACACACACACAATATATATATATATATATATATATATATATATATATACTTTATTATTGGAGTTCTTAGAATTGTATTGAGCACTCTTTCTTAAATCGGTAAGAACTAGTCAATTTCTGGATAGTTTTTTTTACCCCGTAATTCATTTAGGTGAATGAAAAACTTTAACTACACATAATAAAACAGCTTGTGTTGCTACGGATGTCCTTAACTTATCAATTTCTACCTGATGTTTGCCATCACATATCCGGACTGGAGCTGCACAATCCTCGATAACTAGCCTCGACAAGACGTTGTGGGCATTGCATTATTTACAATATCCCCAGACAAAACTTTGCCAGACTTACGCTATTCTGTCGCTATTTCCATGGCAAATGTTCAGACGAGGTGCATTCCTTATTTCCCCCAGTTCAGACCTTTACATCGAAGCCTCTTGCTACTCTGTCGCTATTTCCATGGCAGATATTCAGACCAGCTACATTCTTTAGTTACATCGGTTCAGACCTTTACAGTTAAGTCACTCCATGCCATATTTACTGGGTCGAATGATCCTCCTTCCCTTCATATTCCATTCGTGAAGAGGAAGTTGTACTTGTTGTCTTGCCAAGAACAATTACTTTGCAGAACAAACTCCCGAGAGGATGCTTCCTCGATCACTAGAATTTTTACCTCTTAGCTTTGAGTCAGCAGTTATGTATTCTACATATCCTCATCATCTGCATTTGCTTCCCCATCTTATCTCCATACATCAACCACATTCAATAGCACTCTACATTGAGTGGCTCTTGGGCCTTGGGGTACGTGAACAGTTAGTAAATACGGTCTAGAAGGAGACCCATTTCTTGAATCAGTTTTTGGTCATCTTTCTTGTAGCTTCGATTTCGCACCACCAGTCTTCCGGTTGTTCTAGAAAAATGAAAGAGGTGAGAAATTGCCAAATTTGAAATCTCTGTGCACAAATGGATCCAATTTGAGCTAGAAACTTTCTTTACAAACGGAATGACAACGTGGCTAGAACAACTGGAAGAATATTCAGAGCGAAATTGTGACTGCTAAGAAATGAATTCGTAATTTTATAGAGAAATAAATTGTCTTCATTTTGATACCAGTTTCATTATTCTATCTGGTCGAAAACTTGTTTTATAGAATTGGAGACGTTACATGTTTTCAAGAGTTGTTTGTGAATATCTTACAACACTTAAAAGAAGTTCCTGTTATTAACAAAACAAATCCGGCCATTTTATCTTCAGTTTAAGACTTTTCTTTTGAAAAAAAAAAATTAAATTTGCGTTGTGATAAATCTGATTAAACTCAGCTGTTTTAAAAACGCACAAACCAATGAGTATTGTCTTTGTAATTCGGGTAGATGCCTCTCTCCACCCGGCATCACGTGTTCATCTATCTAGTGGGGGTGGATGCCAGGCAAATGTTCAGATGAAAAATGGCTATTGTTAAAATATACATACACCGGAGAGGTGAAGGTCTTTGTTATTTTTGCGAACCTGTTGTTGACCTGGCATCAATGTGTGTCTGTTGAGTGGGCTTATGAGAGTCATGGAGGAGAATGCAGCCGGTATGACTAGGAAAGCGGGCGTATTTCTGCAACATTTGGGATGGACATATTTAGGTGCCAAATCGACTGCAACGTCCAGAATGTGCGCAGGGAATATATATATAACAAGAGGAAAAAAATATTCTTCTGCCAACGCGTTTCGTTCCGTTCCTTGAACTTTATCGAGACAAGTTTAGAAATTTTTATTTAGGAACCTGTAGTTAGGAACACCGAAAAAAAGTAATCGCTAGATCAGTTTCGACTTGAAGGCGCACTGCAAATCCGTGTGTTCTTCAATATTTAGATATTTCTGAATGAGATTGGTGCTATACATGACATCCGTGTGAAAGTCTTGATCTGACAAGGCGATTTAAGAACATGACTCTGTTTCGGGTTAATGTTTTAGTTTTGTAGCAATTTGCGGTGTTGGGCAAAACTACCGCTGAACAGCCTATTCTACGCTCAATTTCCTTATCGCCAATGCTAAATTTGTTATAAGGGATCCATACGCCGAGGTGTTTGAAGTGTTTGGTATTTAATAAATCCACTTAGTTATGGCGGTTTCGAGGTTGGTGCCAACACTGCTTTTATTCTAAAGGTTTGTAGCTTTTATTTAGGAACCTGTAGTTAGCAACACCGAAGACGTCATCGCCAGAGCAGTTCCGACTTGAAGGCGCACTGCAAATTAGGTCGATCTTCAGCAACATTGTAAATATCATTTATCAGTGCTGTTGTGGTAAAAAAAAAGTTATCTCCTTTCTATCATAAATGGACTGATCCATTCATGATAAGTAGTCCTGGGTAATTGTCTAGAAAGAAAAAAACTGAGTGATATTATCACGGCAGACTCGGTCGAGTTAAATGCTGTGTCTTGCCAGACCCCACATCACAACAAGTCCTATCCAAACCTCGCTGTCCGGTTCTAATAGTCTCGAATACGGCGACCACACTATGGACAAACTTCGAGCTGCTGCTTGGTATAATTGGCTGATTTACCCTGTCAGGTCTTGTAACCGTTGTATCTTTGGTTGCCCCCACCCTCACGGTGTCCTTAATCCCAAGGTACAGGAACGTTTATCAGGATCCATTTCTGGCTGCTCTTGGGCAGAGTTATGATGTCAGGGCAATTGCTTTCCAAGCGATCTCCCTTTGAGCATCACTTACTTGGATGCTGAAATCGGTGAGTGCTCACACTCGACCCCATACTAGTTTCATAGTCATCATTCTTCCCCCCCTTCCCTTCTTCCTCTTCCCCTCTTCCTCTTTACTTCTTCCCCCCCCTTTCCTCTTTTTTCTTCTTCCCCCTTTCTTCCCTCTTTCTTCTTCTTCCCCCTCTTCTTCTTTCTTCTTCTTCTTCCCCTTTCCTCTTTCTTCTTCTTCCCCTCTTCTTCCTTTTCTTCTTCTTCCCCCTCTTCCTCTTTCTTCTTCTTCCCCCTCTTCCTCTTTCTTCTTCTTCCCCCTCTTCCTCTTTCTTCTTCTTCCCCCTCTTCCTCTTTCTTCTTCTTCCCCTCTTCCTCTTTCTTCTTCTTCCCTCTCTTCCTCTTTCTTCTTCTTCCCCTCTCTTCCTCTTTCTTCTTCTTTCCCCTCTTCCTCTTTCTTCTTCTTTTCTCTCTTCCTCTCTCTTCCTCTTCCCCCTCCTTTTCTTCCCTTTCCTCCTCTCTTCCTCTTCCTTTCTTTCTTCCCTTCCTTTCCCCTTCCCCTTTCTTCCCTTCCCCTTTCTTCTTCCCTTCCTTCCCCTTTCTTTTCTTTCCCCTTTCTTCTTTTTCTTCTTCCCCTTTCTTCTTCCCTTCCCTTCTTCTTCTTCTTCCAGTCCCTTTCTTCCAACTTCTTCTTCTTCTTCTTTCTTCTTCTTCCCTTTCTTCTTCTTTCTTCTTCTTTATTTTCTTCCCTTCCCTTTCTTCTTTCTTCCCTTTTCTTCCCTTCTTCTTTTTCTTCCCCTTTCTTCCTTCTTCCTTTCTTCCCTTTCTTCTTCTTCTTCTTTCTCTTTCTTGTAATTATAATAGTCATCATTCTTCCTCTTATTATTATTATTCAAACCTCGTTGTCCTGCTGTGCTAACTAGAGGAAGTACTTTAAGTCTTCTAATCTCTTAAAAGATTTTTTCACGGGGAATGATGGATTTATATCGATATTAGTAGTAGAAGGAAACATTCGGCATTGACCGAGCAGCCAGTGCTGCGGTCGGTTGAGACTTATAATAGCTTTTATCAGTCTTTCCTGTACTGATGGGAGTTTCCTTCCTAACCTTTTGTTCGAAGTCGTGTGGAACATCAGCATCTTGATTGTCACTATCGTCGACTTACAGGTTCTCCATTTTAGTTGTTAAAATCTGCAAATGATATCGTTTCTGCATATTTACTACAGTTCAGTGTGATTGTGTAGCGCCAATTCACAAGGTTCGAAGAAGTGGGGTTTTAGCCAAGACCCCCCCCCCAAGCTTCCTTCGCGCACAGCCATTTTTAACCATTGACCTGACAGTTTAGATATTTCTGAACGGGTTTGGTGCCATGTATGACATCCACAAAAAAAGTTTATATCTGATGTAAATATTGAAGAACTTAACATTAAACCCTTGTGTAAATTAATTGAAACAACTCCTTTAGTTTCCTTTTTTTCTTTTCACCATGCGGCCAGTTTTTAGACTCACTGATGTAACAGGGTGTAATTAATTTCTATTTATCCTCAGGTCATTTGCAGTGATGTGCAGTAATATTTTCGGGGTGTATGATGAAATTGTTTGCGTCATCCGTGATTGCGTCAGATTTTTATCACGCCCAGATACTATTGTCTCAACTGTCGATTAGTTGTCCTATGACTATTGTCTGCGATGGACGTTACTCCAAGGAAACGTACGAAGATTGTAACGCTGCACGAACACACTGGCAAGTCTTACCAGTGAGCAAATCAAAGTACGAGAGATTGGTCCGGAAACTCTCATGATTTAAATCCAATAGAGAATCGGTGGCCAATCTGCAAGCAGCGACTTCGTGGAATGGGCATACGAAGTACTAATATGTGCACTGGGTCATGTTTCATTGGAAAAAAAGTAAATAACGAAATTATTCGTTTTGTTTCAATTAATTTGTACAAGGGTGTCGTTTTCAAATTCTTTTGGTTTTGTAGCAACTTGTGGCATTGGGCGAAACTACTACGGCAGCCTATTCTATATTCAATATCCTTATTTGCTATACTAAAATTGTTATAACTGATCTACACGCTGAGGTATGTGAAATGTTTAGTATTTACTAATTCGACATCCTGTGTTTTTATGATGGACTCAGTCTAGGTACCATCATTGCTTTCATTTCAATTGCATTTTTTTAGTTTTATTTTGTCTTATTGGAATTTGGTAGACCAATGTTTTTCCATATTTTTATTTTCCGGCATAGTTAAACGTCTGTGGTACACTTAAATGATCAAAAAAAAAAGTAAAAAAAGTGTTTACTTTTATGATTTTATTTATTAACACAAACAATTTATTATAATTTATAATAAAAAGGAGGCACTGTGGAGTAATGGATAGCCGCTCGGATTGAGGAATCAGAGAGCCGAGTTCGAATTCCAGTCGAATCCATTACATTCACTTACGTGCTAATACCCTTGGGAAAGGTATGAATCCTCTTCTTCTCTCCTGATTTATTTATTAACACAAACAAAACAATTTATTATAATTTTTAATAAAAAGGAGGCACTGTGTGGAGTAATGGATAGCCGTCGGATTATGGAATCAGAGAGCCGAGTTCGAATTCAGTCGAATCCATTACATTCACTTACGTGCTAATACCCTTGGGAAAGGTATGAATCCTCTTCTTCTCTCTTGATTTATTTATTAACACAAACAAAACAATTTATTATAATTTATAAAAAAAGACACTGTGGAGTAATGGATAGCCGTTCGGATTGAGGAATCAGAGAGCCGAGTTCGAATTCCAGTCGAATCCATTACATTCACTTACGTGCTAATACCCTTGACTTCTTCTTCTTCAATCCTGCTTGGATAAGTGCAGGACAGACTAAGTTTTATAGCCTTGGATGGCAACTGGTCTACTGAAGAAAGAAAATAAAATGGGAAAAAAACTGCCTCGTCAGTAATGGAAAAGATGCATTATTGCCTCTGTTTGCATTTACTAATTTCACGTCTTGAATGTTTATGGTGGATTCAGTGTCGAATCCATTTTCATCATTTCAATTCCAAAATTTTTTCTTTTTTTTCCTTAAAGAAAGGTTTAAGTCGAGTTCTTTTTCTTGGAACACTCTCTCTTGATTTTCTTTCAAGAACATTCTTCTAACAACAATTTATTATAATTTTTTAATGTCGTTGTTTTTCTAGGAATACTTGATGGATGGTTGATTTTCTGTTTGAGGAATTCTTCTCCAACTATGAATACTTTTCTTTTAATGTCATTGTTTTCATAGGAATACTAATAGAGGAGGTTGATTTTCTGTTCTTCTTCTTCTTCTCACAACTATGAATACTTTTTTCTTTTAATGTCATTTGTTTTCTAGAATACTTGATAGAGGAGGTATATTTTTGGATTCAAGAACATTCTTCTCACAACTATGAAGATACTTTTCTTTTAATGTCGTTGTTTTCAAATCATTGATAGAGGGAGGTTGATTTTCTGTTCAAGAACATTCATGTACTAAAAATACTTTTCTTTTAATGTCGTTGTTTTCTAATTTCACTTCTTGAATTGATTTTCTGTTCAAGAACATTCTTCTCACAACTATGAATACTTTTCTTTTTTAATGTTTGTTTCAATGAAAATGAGGAGGTTGATTTTTTGTTTCAAGAACATTCTTCTTTGAAAATGAATAAAATTTCTTTTAATGTCGTTGTTTTCTTGGAATACTTGATAGAGGAGGTTGATTTTCTGTTCAAGAACATTCTTCTCACAACTATGAATACTTTTCTTTTAATGTCGTTGTTTTCTAGGAATACTTGATAGAGGAGGTTGATTTTCTGTTCAAGAACATTCTTCTCAAAACTATGAATACTTTTCTTTTGAAGTCGTTGTTTTATATGTCCGTTACGGTTGTTCGTCTAATGTCAGTGGATGTTATTTTTTTCCGTTTGATATTGATGGCAAAACCATTTCTATAAGGCTTACTGCCTGTTTCTGAAGTGTAAAGTTATTAACCTGTGCTAATTTCGTTATTACTATAAAGTGCTTCTTTGATTTTGATTTCTTGGGCAATTCTTGCTTTTCTTTTTTTTTTTTTTTTCCACAAGTCCTCTAACATCAAATGACCCAATGAGAAACTTTTTCTGTACTGTTGGAGACATTTACAACATTTTATATAAGTTGTCATCTGGAGAAGTCATTACCTACTACGCCGCCAAAAAAAAAAAAATGTTATGAGTTCAAATTTGAATTTGAGAACGCTTTATAATATTTTAGAATCTCTCTGCGTTAATGAGGAGGAAGACATATTACCGTATATAGTCAAAGAACTCTGAAGACCTGATTTTGAAGTTACTTTGACTCCAGTAAATGGATATATAGTTTGATCAACGGTGTGGCTAGGGCCAGCAGTACATACGATAATTTTATATCTCGTGTATGATACGACCCCCTTAAAATTAGCTTCAAAATTAGATCTTCAAAAGTTGCATGATTCGCGAGAATATACGATACCTATCTATCTGTCTATCATACTCGCGTATCATGCTACATTTGAAAACTTAATCTGACACCTGTAAATGGATATATAGTTTGGTCGACGGTGTAGCCAGGGCCAGCAATACATACGCTAATTTTATATCTCATGTACGATGCGACCCTCTTAAAATTATCTTCAAAATTATGTCTTCAAAAGTCGTATGATAAGAGTATATACAGTCAGTATCTGATACTATGTAGATTTTTGACATATTGCTAAACTGTCAATGTTAATTTTATTGCTTTTTATTCTTTTAAGGGGATTTTTTTTTAAATTCAGGTTCATATACATATATATAATTATGTATTTTATGCAAGTTTCATATAAAACTACTGACAAGCTACTTAACCACAGTACCTTGATAGTCGTTTTTAATGAAAGTTTCATGCATGCATCCATGTATATATATATATATATATATATATATATATATATATATATATATATATATATATATATAAAATTATAAAATGGACAAAGTCGGACATTTATTTTAAGACATTTTTATGTTTATACATTCTTTTTATAGATAAAATATTTAAGTAAATGCTCTGTTTATAATAAACAGTGTTAAACAACATTTACCGGCCTGGATGTCCCGAGAAATTTTCACAGAAAATTCACACCAGGAACCCTTTGCCAACGTATGAGGTTCAAGCACCCCCGGTCCTAGGAACCGATAGCCAGACGGCCTGCACATATGATTTGATTATAGGGGTGAAGGCTTTGTGCAGAACCAACCACATTATTTATTTATTTTTTTATTTTGAAGAGTCGAATACAGAGACCTGCTGCACCCTGTACCACAAGGTCCCCAAATGACCCACCGCAGATTTTGAAATAGCTGTTCTTCTCTTAGACCAGTTGCCATCCAATGCTACAGAACACAGTCGGACCTGCTATTTACTCATAGCTGGCGGGAGAAGAGTATTCATGCATTTCCCACGAGTATTAGTTCATAAGTAAAAGTAATGGATCCGTTGGAGTAATGGATATCCTCTGATTGAAGGAATCCGAGCCGATTCAATTCAATATATATATATATATATATATATATATATATATATATATATATATATATATAAAATGGTGCAGTATAAGTAATATTATAAAGAAGTTGTCATACAAAGAATAAATCAGTAAAGTTAATGTAATTAATGGCAAAATCACTTCACTAACAGATTTAATAAAGCATTAACTTATTAACCACTCGTTGAATGACGTGATCATTGTTTTTAAAAATTGTGAAAATGGATTTGATGTTCCGTAGATATGCTAGTACTTTCGATAATTCTTCTTATCATCAGGTATGGATATTCTTTTTCCTTTTTCAGGTAAATTCAGGTAACTTCTGGAACGAAAATAAATATAATGCAGTGGTAGAATCTCTGACACCAAATGGGTTGGGTTTCAATCCTGGCTTGAGGCATTCGGTTGTTTAGACACACTGAAGAGCTGTGATACAGCGAAACAGTACTGTCTGCGAATCACACACACACACATATATATATATATATATATATGTGTGTGTATGTTGATCACTTTACTGTGTTTTAATGGTAAGTAAGCTTGCCTCGCCATATCACATACTACCGAGTTCGATCCTCACTACGTGCTCCACACTTTCGGCCTTGTGTCACATCTAAGCTTTGCTTAAAAAAAAGAAATCACCGTAGTACTAATCCTCATATATATATATTAAAGACATTTTTATGTTTAACGTTCTTTTTTATAGATACAAGTATTTAAGTAAATGCTCTGTTTATAATAAATAAATTTACTTAAATACTTGTATGTATAAAAAAATTAATAAACATAAAAATGTCTTTAAAAAATAAAATCTCCATTTCTTATATATATATATATATATATTTGTCCATTTATATATATATATATATATAAACTAGCAGTATTACGTGTCTTTGACCGGGTCTTTCATTACAGGGAATTTTTACCGTTCTGTTGGAAGAGTTTAAAATCAATACCCGAAAATCAATATTAGTAACAACATTTAGGTGTAATTGAGACACATCCCCCTAATGAGGGGGTTAATAATTTAAATGGGGGGTCGCCCTGAAAAGGGAACTGTATAATAAATAATATTAGTATTTTAGTTATTTTTAAAAAATAGTGCTCGATACAAAAGTAGAGCATAAATTTAATTATTTATTTAAAAATATGATTCCAAAACGCTTGAAGATGGAACAGAGCTTGTTACTTTAACTCAATTTAATTTAAATAATTATATTGAAGTTTTCGACTCTTGTTTTGAAACAGTTTTGTATCATCATATTTTTAAATAAATAATATATATATATATATATATATATATATATATATATATATATATATATATATATATATTGAATAATAAAAATATTAAAAACTAAAATTAAAATCTTCAGACACACTGGGTTGTATATTAATATTCCTTCGTTTTTATTATTTCATTTAGATTCTTCGATTAGTTTCGGCCAAGATGGTCATCATCAGAAAAAAAATGTCTGCTTGCTGGTAGCAGTGAACTACAGAAATGAATGTCTTGATGGAGAAAATGAACTTTTGTCTGTAGTTTTCATTTGTTTTTTGATTTTTCTAACATGAATTTTGGACAGTCCTTGTGTTGGTCAAACAGTCTCTTTTAAGTTGTTATCTGAGATAAGAGCTGGATGGATTCCTGCTGCTCTGAATTCCCTTGGTCATTTTGACAGTTTTATTGGTTCCTGGAAAAGGGATGTGTTTCTGTTAAATGTGTGTGTGTGTTATTTGGTTCTTAGGGAGTGAGTGAGTATGATATATATAAAATCCTTCCTTTATATATCCTTCTCAGTTTCTTTTCAACTTTTACAATCAAAATATCCGGTAAAGTGAAGGGGACGTTAGCTTACAAACGCTTGATTTCATTTTTTGCTAGTTATATAGTTGTTGTTTTTTTTATATTTAGTAATTTAAGATGGCGTAGATTACTGTAAAAATTGCAATTTTCAGTTGTAACAATCATTCCGAAGTGAAATTGCTTATGGACCACTAAAATATTACCGTGGACCCGCCTCCCCAATTTATTTTTTGTGTGGACCCCCAGTAATGTTAAATGGACCCCGGTTACGAACTACTGGTTTAGATGGTAAGAAGTTTATGGAGTTAATGATTTTAGTGATACAAATTGGTTATAAAATATGAGCCAATATAAGATTTGTCTCTAACCAGGCATCTTAATTTGTCAAATCCGTAATTTGCCTTAGCCCAGTTCTATTTGTAAAATTCTCTATTTCTCCGCCTTTGAATGCTGGACTATCGTCGTGTAGATTCTGTTTTCTTCGAGGCTACAGAAATGTAGTTCTACAGAAGGATGCCATAGACTAAATATGTAAGCAATGACGAAATTCTAAAGAAAATGAACTAAAAAAGACACTTGTACTTAGAATCAGAAAAAATATCCTTGAAATTTCTAGGACACATGAGGACAGATGGCGTAGAAAATTTAACACTCACGGGACAATATTGAAAGCAAGAGGTACAGGAAAACGACTTAACAAGCTTCTGATAATAGTTGGCAGAACAAGGATTATGAGAGATAGCAGAAAGGGACACTTTGCTAAGTGCTACAAAAAAACAGGAAGTTGTGAAGAACCATGATCGCCTACATCCTGAACGGACACAGCACATGGAAGATATCTGCGAGAGTTTGCGCAGGCGCATAAGGATCGTTTGTTTTGTTTTCAGGCCTATCAACCTGACGGGGTTGTTTAATGCTGGCAAGATTTTTATTGCTGGTAATATTTAAACATAAAAATGGATTGCTGGTAATATTTTTCTTTTTCAAAATTGACCCTTTCTTGCGAAAGAGGGTAACTATTTGCCTATAGCTGGGACCCTGACAGGTGCTACCACCCCGTGTCAGGATAGACCTGGGAACACCAGCAATTAAGAGGTGGTTCCACACTCCTCAAAACCTTCTGATCAAAGGCCTTCCTGTCGGACCCAGGACGCGGATGTAGTTTATCCTCTTACCCATGACGGAATAGAAAGCTTATGAAGCGATGAACGTTAAATTGTTTTAAAAATAAACAGGATTATATTTAAGCTTTCAATCAGTCAATTTTATTAGTGTACACTTATTTTTTTTTTTTTTTTTTTTTTTTTCTAAATAAAAATGTTGCTCATAGTTCACGAGATTTTTATAAATTTGTTCACGAAGTTGGGCTGTCAGTAACCAAAAGCAGAAATTGTTTGACAAATTGGATCTTTTTATTCTGACCTGTCTCCTATGCATATCTGAACTTCTTTTAAATTTCCCACCGTAGGTCCACGTTCTGTTTGTTTGTTTTTTTTTGGGGGGGGTTATTTACTAACGAACATGTTGAAAACTATGGAATACTAAAAAAAAAATAAATGCCCTTAACAAATTTCTCTCCGGGTTCAGAAGTTAGTGAATTAGTGTGTTTGCTTGTAAAACTTGATTTATTGTTTGTTTAAGTCAAAAATAAATATTACTTATTCGTCTTTGATGTCCAGATTTATTCGACGTGTCCTTGGTTATTCTAGTCACGATGTTTCGATTGTTGTCACCGCTCTACTTCTTCAGGTACCCGTTGTATTTCCTTTCCTAAAAACATCCAGACATTTTGTCAAACAAACGAAAACCTTGGTTGGAAATACTTTTTAAATCGACTTGATCTTTGTGCGAAGCTAATATAAAGGCTCAAATTGAAAGACATTGCTAAAGACGGTCTTTCCACTGTGGACTCTGATTAGTGCGAGGCCCGAATTATTACTGATAGGGTAAAAGTAATAACTATTATTTATTTATTTAATGTGTGGTAAATCAGTCTGGAAGATAGTTATAGCCGTATTCACTCTGGATTAAACAAACCATTTGTTTTATTGTTCATTCCAATAGCATTTTGATTTAAATTAAAATTTAATTAATCACTTTCTTGGTGAAGAATTTCTGTTGAGAGATTGTGTTTGTTTTGTTCCAAAGGAATGTGTAAAACTTGCTCCCTTGGTGTTTCAAGATATTTTCTATCTGTTCTTGTCCTATTGAACATTCTTTTTTCTCCCGTGTCCCATTGGTTCTTGGTCTCTTTTTTTTTTTTTTTTTCTCTCTCTCTCCCGTGTCTTGGTCTCTTTTTCTCTCTCTCTCTCTCTCTCCCGTGTCCCATTGGTCTCCCATTTTTTCTTCTCTCTCTCTCCCGTGTCCCATTGGTCTCTTTTTTTTCTCTCTCTCTCCCATGTCCCATTGGTTTCTTTTTTTTTCTCTCTCTCTCTCTCTTCCCATTGGTCTCTTTTTTTCTCTCTCTCTCGTGTCCCATTGGTCTTTTTTTTTTTCTCTCTCTCTCTCGTGTCCCTCTTGGTCCCTTTTTTTTTCTCTCTCTCCCGTGTCCCATTGGTCTCTTTTTTTCTCTCTCTCTCTCCCGTGTCCCATTGGTCTCTTTTTTTTTTTCTCTCTCTCGTGTCCCATGGTCTCTTTTTTTTCTCTCTCTCTCTCCTTTCCCATTGGTCTTTTTTCCTCTCTGTCCGTTCTTTTTCTCTCATATAAATTGGTCTTTTTTTTTTCTCTCTCTCTCCCGTGTCCCATTGGTCTCTGAAAATCATTCTCCTTGTCCCATATTGGTCTGTATGTTCAGACTTCCCGTACAAGTCTCTCTCTCTCTCTCCCAATTGGTCTTTTTTCTCTCTCTCTCTCCCGTGTCCCATAAGTCTCTTTTTTTTGTCTCTCTCTCTAATTGGTCTCTTTTTTCTCTCCTCTCTCCCCCGTGTCCCATTGGTTACTCTCAATCCCCATTATCTCTTTTTTTCTCTCTCTCTCTCTGTCCCATTGGTCTCTTTTTTTTCTCTTTTCTCTCTCTCTCTTCCGATAAATTTCTCTCGTGTCCCATTTCATTGCCAGTCAACATGTCATACAGATTTTTTTGAAAAGGTGTCTTTGAAGAGTTTCCTGTTCAATTGTATATAATAGGTAAATAAATAAGTTTTGTTCTCCTGTCCTAACTAACTTGTCTATTGCCAGGCTTCCGATAAGCCGCTATTGGGTATGTCTTGTTTTTTGACCCTTTCTTCAAATAAAATAAAGTTGTCCTTTGCAGAAAAAATAGTACCTTTAAAAATATTTAAAAATATTTTGTTGTCATCTATTTACTCGAACTTGTCAAGTAGTTTACTCTGAGTTTCCCCTGCTTATCACGTTCTTCAAACAAAGCTCAGAATTAACTCCGTCCCGTGATAGTAGAATATTGGGACGACTGGTTAAGTGTTATTTTTTTTCAAATTTAAATTCTAGTATATTTATTTTAAAAGTAACCAATTTCTTAAAATGAAAAAAAAAAAAATTTTCTCACCAATAATTTAAAAACGAATTTGAACTACTTAAACATCCATAAATAATTGAAAAGTTCAAGCTGATGTGCTTCTTTAAACTGGTGAATGAAACCCGAAAGAAGGCTGGACTTAAACCTTTTGTGTGTTATTTCTACTAAATTTATCAGCTGTATAAAAATTGCAGTAAAATTTGACTAATTCTTGTATTTATTCATTTTTAAAACTTCAATATTTAATTTCTTAATTTTTTTTTTTCATAGCTGAAAATTAATATTTATTTTTCCTTCTTTTCATTTTGTCGTTGTGGTTCTTTTTTTTTTTTTCTCTTTTTGTTGTTGTTTTTTTTCTTTCTTTTCTTTTTTTTTTCTTTTTTTTTTTTTTGTTTTTTTTTTTCTTTCTTTTTTTTTTTTTCTTTGTTTCTTTTCTTTTTTCTTTGTTTCTTTTCTTTTTTTCTTGTTTCTTTTCTTTTTTTCTTGTTTCTTTTCTTTTTTTCTTGTTTCTTTTCTTTTTTTCTTGTTTCTTTTCTTTTTTTCTTGTTTCTTTTCTTTTTTTCTTGTTTCTTTCTAAATTTAAAACCTATGATAAAGTTAAGGAAACAATATTTTAATTTCGAAGTGGTTTATTTTCTTTTCTCTCCTGAATTCGTGTGAATAAACAAAACCTTAGTCTGGATCAATGTTTTGCTATTTTACTTGTGAGTCAAAAAAAAAAAAAAAAAAACTACTAACGTTACTAAATCCCTCCTCAGTGCTGACAATAATCCACAATAACATACAAAAAAAAGAAAATTGAAATAGGTTGTTCAAAGTCTGGTATTGTTAAGTACTACACAGATGACCTTCGTTCGTTCTAACAAAGTCTCACCTTTGAAATCTTGCCTGACCCCAGGGGTAGCATCTTGAAACATTACTAGAAGCTAGTCTACAAATAAATGTCCTCTCCCGACCGTGTGTAGCTCATGCTGATATAAACATAGAAAATGTTGACATAGTTGTCGAGGTGTAAACAAGAAATGTACGTAGGTAGGTAAGTGTCCTTATTTCATCACACTTGCTGACGAATCAAGCTTTGTAAACTTGCCTTACGAGTTTCAGATATGACAAAAAAAAAAAAAATAAAATCCTAATCTACCTACTTAGCCATAAATAGTCTAGAAAAGAAAAAAGGTAGGTCACCGAAGTGTTTGGGAGCAGAGAAGGCGGTTGCTAAATAAAAATAAAACCGCATTCCATGCTTTCCGATGAAACTATTCTATAATATTCAGATTCGGCGGGCGCATCGGCGCGAATGTCAGGACCGGACAGTCTCGGCGGGCGCATCGGCGCGAATGTCAGGACCGGACAGTCTCGGCGGGCGCATCGGCGCGAATGTCAGGACCGGACAGTCTCGGCGGGCGCATCGGCGCGAATGTCAGGACCGGACAGTCTCGGCGGGCGCATCGGCGCGAATGTCAGGACCGGACTCGGTCTCGGCGCGAATGTTGGACCGGATCTCCGGCGGGCGCATCGGCGTCAATGTCCGGACCGGTCTCGGCGGGCGCATCGGCGCAATGTCAGGACCGGACAGTAAATTATTTTCGTTATAGAAGAAAGTGGTGCGTTGATTGGTGTTGCTTCGTTTTAGCACGGCAACTGAAAATCTCGTTACTAAGCAGTGAGGACTGTTTGATAATAAATTTGTGTTCGGAAAGTGATTTCGTTTTTTTTTTTTTTTTTTTTGATTCTGAGTAACAAGTCAGGGTAGAACCAAGGTTGAATGGTAGGAAACTACATTTCGAATTAGTCATCTCTCATATTAGGCTCGGCACTTCGACGTGGTTTAATGGTTTGTAAGCTTGTCTCGCGAGATTTTTCGTTGCAGTTTCTCTTTCCTTTTCTGTAATCAATTAATTTTTTTAAACACATTTTTTTCATAAATAAATGGACGTCTTCGTGGTCGAGCTTTAAACATGGCTGGTTGAATAGTAGTTTCTCCCATATATATATGTAATATTCTTGAACCCGGGTCTCATGGTCAGAAAGCGAACGACTGATTTGTCAGGAAGGAGAGTCGACTTTCAATTTTAGTTGTGTTCGTTATATTCTTTATACTTGGGAAAGGAATGAATCCATCTTTCGTCCTCCCATCTATGGGTTAAATAGTTAGACTTGTATCACTAAATCATTATCATCACCCCCCCCAAAAAAAAAGATTTATTTACATTCTCTAGTTTGATTTGATTTGTTTGTTTAACGCTATATGGGTCATTTACTGCCGAAATTTTATTTTATGAATTTTTTGGTAATTTTTTTCCCCCAATAATGTATTGCCGGTAATTTTCTTATTTTTTAGTATGAAAATATATTGCTGGTTATTTTTTTAAAATGTATTTTCATATTTTCATTTGTATTTTCGTGGTTCAATATTTAGCCAGTAGGAGGTGGGTTTACGCTCTTCAAAACCTCCAATCACCCGATCAGAGGCCTTACTGCTGGATGTAGTTTATCGTCATACTCAGGACTTACATTCTCTGCAATATAAATGTATAGAAACTATCGTGGTCACAAAGTGAGGGATTAGTTTATACATTGATTTAATATAGAATTGACCCCTCACTTTATACCCACATAATTTTTTATCTGATTCTGATTAGGTATGAATCCACCTCTTCTCTCCAAGCTATGGGTTAATTAGTAGATGTAACACTGAATCATTGTCTCAAAAAAAAAAAAAAAATTCTTAAATCTCATATTTTCTGGTTTGAAATATCCTGCAAAGAATTCATAAATCTAAAATGAATGACTCAAACGTCGATTTGTTCTAGAAAGTGGCATGTAAGCTTGATCACTACCGTAGAACACTGGATAATGATATATGAAACCCCAAATATCCCGGCCTGTCAAAAGATCTTTAAATATAAAGTAAAACTGATGAGTCATTGCAAACACGACTTGAAATGTTTTCTTTCTCAATGAAAGAACTGGTTTTTACTAATTGTCTGAAAAATAAAAGTATTTATTGGCTTGGAATACAGCATGTGATAAATGGTCTTGTACGGTATAATACAGCACTTGATTATTTCTCCTTTTTTTTCTGATAGACAAGTCAAAGAACTCTCTCACACATTTATACAATCAGACATTTTGGGGGTTTATTTTAATTTATTTATTTTTTTAATTTTTTTTACATTTTTCTGGGATAAGTGCTTCTTGTATAGACACAATGCCAGACATTATTCTGAGTCGACAAATCTTCGGACTGCGATTGCTCTGTTAATGAAATAAAAAGGAATGTTTTTCAAAATCCGTATTTTTTCTTTGAAATTTTTTTCTTTCATAGACCTTATATTCTTTTCTTCTTCTCTTTTTTTTTTCTTCTTTTTTTTCTTCTCTTTTTTTTTCTTCTCTTTTTTTTATCTTTTTTTCTTTTTTTTTTTCTCTTTTTTTATTCTTCTTTTTTTTCTTTCTTTTTCTTCTTTTTTTTTTCTTCTCTTTTTTCTTCTTCTCTTTTTCTTCTCTTTTTCTTCTTCTTTTTTCTTCTTCTTTTTTTTCTTCTTCTTTTTTTTCTTCTTTTTTTATTCTTCTTTTTTTTCTTCTTCTTTTTTTTCTTTTTTTTTCTTCTTCTCTTTTTTAAAAGAGAAATTTTTTCTTCTTCTTTTTTTTTTCTTCTTTTTTTTCTTTTTTTTTTTCTTCTTTTTTTTTCTTTTTTTCTTTTTTTTTCTTTTTTTTTCTTCTTCTCTTTTTTTCTTCTTCTTTTTTTCTTTTTCTTTTTTTTCTTTTTTCTTTTTTCTTTTTCTTTTTTTTTTTTTTTCTTTTTTTTTCTTTTTTTTTTTTTCTTCTTTTTTTTTTTTTTTTTTTTTTTTTTTTTTTTTTTTTCTTCTTCTTTTTTTTTTTTTTTTTTTTCTTTTTTCTTTTTTTTTTTTCTTTTTCTTCTTTTTTTTCTTCTTTTTTTTTTTTTTTTTTCTTTTTCTTTTTTTCTTTTTCTTTTTTTTTTTTTTCTTTTTTTTCTTTTTTTTTTTCTTAGAATTTTTTTTTTTTCTTTTTCTCAAGTTTTTCTTTTTTGTCATTTTCTTTCTTTTTTCTTTCTTTCTTCCCGTTTTTTCAAAGTCTTTATAACGCCTAAATCATTTCGCAAATTGAAATTGATGCCTAAAATGCTAACTAGTCGATAAGAACATTTCTGTACTGGAACAACCTCTCTATTCACCTGATCTTGCTACATATGACTTTCTTCTTTTCCCCTAGCTCAGTTTGTTAATGAAGGGCTAATTCTTATTGGGGGTCCCTGGTTAAAGGGGTATATTACTCAAAAAAGGTTAAGAACCGTTGACTTAAAGGGTGGGCATAATCAATTGATGTTTTATTGAGATAAGTAGATACCAATTATTTGAACTTTTTCCCAAACTATGCGCCTCATCTGTTTGATTTGAGTCCAAATAACAATTGAATTCGTGAGGTTTCTGTCCATATAGTATTTATATGGTTGCTGCAAATAAAGCCAGAAGAACATGTAGCAACAGCTGGTTTGGCCAGACACATGTACGTTCAAAACACTATTAGCAGCAGCAACCCTTTTTCAGCTTTTGGATATGCATAAAAGTAAGAAAGAAATCAAGTTTAATAGAAATTTCAAGAGACTATTATTTTTTCTTCTTGTATTGTTGCATATGAGGAAAGACATTGAATCTCTTGCATTTGCAGGGGACCTGCTTGACACAAACACAATACACTCACTCACTCACTCACCACCAGCATAAGTTTAAGCACATCCATTTCTTCCTTTTTACAGGGAATACCACAAGAGCATTCATTCAATTTACACTTTCACGAGCTATCTTTGAACATTCTCTATATTTTCCAATAGAATAAAATCTCAATTCTTTTGCCAGTTTCTTTCAACCAATTCTGCACATATGGCACCTTCTCAACCTCAAATGCTGACCCCCCGCAAGAAAATAACAAATCCGTTAAAGATGGTGCTATGTGTTAGTTTTTTTTTATATATATATCTTTGTATTAGTGAGCCAACCAAAATGAGATGACTCATTTTATAGTCCACCAAGAGAAGGATTAACCAATCGGAAAGCTCAAAATATTCAATCCGACGTGTATAAAGGCAGCCATTTTGTTTTTTCTCCAAAAATATCTTCACTACCAACCTCTGATATCGAAGACATAAAGAATTACTTAACAGCTGCTACTTTATCCGAATATTCACTGCCAACCTCTGATATTGAACACATTACGGAATTCACTGGATTCTATATTCAAAGACTACGGCAAAAATGGTCAACGCTACGTCTGCAAGCATACTTCTCAATAAGAACAAAGACATTTTTTTTTACTCTTCGTGCGTTATTGCAATTATCATAGCTGAATGCTAGATTTCTTTCCATAAAACAACCTTTTCAATAGCTTTTTCAAATTCAGTCCAGTCATGTTTTTTTTTTTATTTCTTTGTTCACTGTGACAGCGTGAACGCTGGAGAATAGTTTCTTTGGAAGATTTTATATCATACAATGTTGCCTTTCCGTTATTGAACTCAGCCATGGGTTACAATCTACTTTCAGTCTAGTCTGTTTAAAATTTCCACTTTTTGCGATAACTCCAAAGTTGTTCTTTTCCTCTTATTCCCATCATCTTTTGCACCAATACAAGCCATTAGGGTGAAATAAGTATAAGCAATTATCCACCCAAATAGTTCAAATATACACATCAAAATCATGTCCGGATATGAGACACTCTACTGTACTTTTAAGTTTCTCGTATTTTTTCTTGCACGCTAACAAGGTATTTCTTTTTAGTACTTAGTATCTGAGATTGTTCAAATGGTTGTTCGTTCTGAGCATTTTCGACTAAACCGACTTCAACATGCCCTAGAAGTCATCGACAAATGTTGTTCTCTGATTTGTAAAATATCCTCAACTAAATTGTCATGGAGTTTCTGCCAATTACACCCTTTCTTAATCTAACGTTACTCTGGTTTCTCTAAATATAACTCTTTAAAATCCATTGGCATGGGATGATAATTACAATAACCTTTTGAAAGGTCCAATCGATCACTTAATCCTCTGGTCATTGTGTATAATTGTAGCTTAATTACTGGCTATAGCATAGGTAAAGCCAACAACGAAATTGTCCACATAATTCGGCGCTGATCAAATCAGTTGAACCGCTTTGTTGGGGACAGAAACAAAATAGACGACCTTTTTTTTTTTTTTTTTTTTTTTTTTCTATTGCCCTTATTCGTTTCCAGACTTCTGATAGTTTTTTGTCATGTCTGACAAGTTTTTTCATCACCTTAATATTTCTGGAAATAGTTAAAAAAAAAAAAAAAAAAAAAAATCCTCCTGGTGTTAGTTTAAACTGACACGTTCCATTCCCCATATATTGTGACCTTTTCATTCAAAGCTCTTTTTTCTCTTTATATCAAGTGAAACATGCAAGATTTTCCAATATCTGTGTATGAGGATAAACTACGTCCGGCAGCAAGGCCTCTGATTTGGAGTTTGGAGGTTTTGAGAAGCGTGGAACCATCTCTTAATTGCTGTTTTTCCCAGTTCCACCCTGACCTGTGGAAGTAACACCTGTTCGGGTCTCAGTTATGGGCAACTAGTTAACTCTCCAAACAAAACACTATGAAATTATAAAAATTCATTTGTATAGTCCAATTACCAACAACAAAAATTCCAGCAATACATATTATATAATAATTATCAAGAATATATTTTATCTGTAGTTGAAGGCATACAATTGCGTCCAAAATATATTTAGTTGAAGGCATACAATTGCGTCCAAAATATATTTAGTTGAAGGCATACAATTGCGTCCAAAATATATTTAGTTGAAGGCATACAATTTCGTCCAAAATATATTTAGTTGAAGGCATACAATTGCGTTCAAAATATAGATTTCGGCATTAAATAACCCATAGAGATGTTGATATGCCGCTAAAGAAAATGACCAACACTACATATATGTAGTTGAAGGCATACAATTGCTATCAAAATATATTTAGATGAAGCCATATAATTGTGTTCAAAATATTTAGATTTCGGTATTAAATAACCCATAGAGATGTTGATATGCCGCTAAACAAAATGACCAACAATACATATATGTAGTTGAAGGCATACAATTTTTTCAAAATATATTTAGTTGAATTTTAAAATTTAAAATTATTAATTATTCAAATTTTCTTTAAAAATTCTTTGTCGCCATGTTTATATTAAACGTTTCTAGACCTTTTTCAAGGACACATGGCACAGTGGATAAAGGCGTTAGTTAGATCCAGTGACAAGACCCAAAGAGTGTGAGTTTTAATACCTGGTTAAGGCAATGAAGAACTTTTTGAGGGAATTAACAAAAGATAACTGGCATCCATTAGACATGGCACGTGGAACTAGAACAGTCTACCCCAGTGAGCGAAATAAAGGGTTCAGTTCGACATTCCAACCACCTGAAGAAGACCGGATCGTACAACGGCCGAAACGTTGTGATAAACACGGCGACAAAAACTAGGACAATAGTCCAAATAATGTACATAATGCGTCATCTCAGAAATATAGACAGATACCATAAAATTGTGTTTAAACTATTTAAATTCGACATTAAATAACTCATAGAGGTGTTGATATGCCACAAAGCAACAGTAAACAGATCTTGCCCTGAGTACAATTTGTTCCGGATTTTTCCAGAAGCCTATTGATTTGTTGTTGTTTTTTTATTTTTTTTTTTTATTTTTTTTTTTTTTTTTATTTATTTGATCTTTATCTGCTCTTAAAATAACAAATTTTATCCTCTATTCCCATGTATAAGTACAATTTTTTTCTATCTCTAAATTTTTTTTTCAAACATAGGTCTATTTTAATAAGGGACAAGATGTACTTTCCACTCTGGGTCAAGAAAAATGTCGGTTCTCGTACTATTTTAAAGTTAAGCAACCTCGAACCTGGTCAATACCTAGATGGGTGACCTCTTGTGAATACAAAGATAAAAAAGTGTAAATTTAATGTTTGGGAAAAAATGAATCTTTGACTTTTTTTTTAAATCTATGGGTTAATTATAGGACTTGTATCAGTAAATCATTATCTCCCCTCCCCGCAGAACAATTTACAATTATTATCTGGCTTTAAATAACCCGCAGAAGATTGATAAACCGTAAAAAAACAAATTGATCAATCAACCACTTTCCCCTAAGAATTGCGTGTCGCAAACAGCCCTGTCCTTTAAGACGATAAACAAATCCAACAGATAGGCTTCTTATCAGGAGGTTTTTTAGGACATTTTAACCACCTCTTAATTGCTGGTGTTTAGTGGTTCAACCTTTCAATTTTTTTTTAGCACCTGTTAAGGTCCCCAAATATAGCAAATAGTTAACCCTCAAAATTTTTATAAAAATTCAAAACACAAATGTATTTCTAGGCATTTAATACCAGAAATACTTTCTAAAAAAAAAAAAAAAAAAAAAACATTTTCGATTCAAAAAAAAAAAAAAAACATTATTTTAAAATTTGTCGGCATTAAATAACCCATTGAGGTGTTGATGTGCTGTAAAACAAACCAAAAATCGCAGTCCAGTACCTACCAGGTGGTATCACGGCTATGACTGGCTTGGACGGCCTCTGACCGGTTTGGACAAGCTATGACCAGCTTAGACCAGCGGCTAGAGTGTAAACATTCGGGCCCCCGCGTTAAAAACGGACCTGACTCAGTTTTGGGCCAAGTATAGCCCAATACTATCACTGATTAGCAATGTTATTGGTTCTAATTTATCGTCTCTGGATTAGTCACGTTTCCATCGCCGTAATATAACTCCCGTTTGCCTTTTCTATAAATACATTCATGGTAATTGTTCGTATGATCTCTTCGCTATGGTACCTAGACTTTATGAATTTAAAAGCAGTACTAGATTGGCGGAAAGTTCTCATCATATCTGTTGAATTGGCTAGATGTTGCCGTAAGTTCTATGCTGATTGTATCTTCTATATATCTCATATTTATCGAACATTTCTATGTTCCGGCGCGATAAAATCCACCAAATTTGTTTAAAAAATTTTTTGAAAAATGCAATATCAATCATTATCTACTGTCTTCTTGATTACTCTTCTTCTATT